GCAATGAAGACTGATTATTACCATCATTCCCACATAAAGTATTGTATATGAAACGAATTCGGATTGCATTTGCGTATATACGGAAGCATACGAGATGAACCGAGTAGATTTACACGTTAGTTGATAAGTGGGCAGGTTACAAATAAGTTGATAATCCGGAATAGTTTAGGTTTGCAGCAAGCAGACTTCCGAAAGTGTCAGATCTACAATGCAGACCTTTGTTAAATTGGCTTTATGACATGGGTGCAGCAGTCAGACTGAACTAGGACTAGTAGTAAAGTCGATGGTCTTGAGTTGTTGCTGGTGCACTATCTCAGGCTTATGGCCCCGGAGGCTGTTTTGCTCAAAGTGTGTGCCTTAAATCCACGTAGATGTTGCCCATAGAGAGTCAATTTTCCATTTTTCTTGGATCATCTTCAAATCGGCTAGCGTGAACGGATACCATTCGAAAGCCCCGAGTAAATGTGACTGCAAGTGAGCGACAAACATGGCTACTACTGGTGTATATGGTTGTTGTTATAACAGTCAACACTATTTGTTAGGGTTGTGCCTCAATTCTATCTGCAAAGTGAACCGATTGGTTGAACTAAAATGTACTTTTTGTCCTTTCCATTTAAGGTAATGCTATTTTGAGCCACTAATCTTACATTGGACCCAGCCTGGCCTGTTATACAAATAACTCGGGTAAAATTGATCTTACAGTTATAAATGGATACTAATAAGGAGGATCTAAAGTAGCAACTGGAAAAGTTAACAGTACCGGAATGTTCAGCCATTGATATCCTAGCCTCCATAAACGATCCGGGAGTCCGAGAGTCATAACCTGCAAAAGCATTATAAAAGGAGCCCAAAGATAACAGCAGAATCCGCTGACTCCCAAATTCATCTTGGCTGATTTCGATGGTGATTTAATATTGTTAAACGTTCTGTTCACTTGTGAAGGGACTAGTAATTTATAAAGGTTGCCGACTGTCTCGGAATCGCCGTCGACAGGGGGTCCAAGTTCAGCCCCTTTGTGGATCTTATATGGCCAGTTTTTTCCTTCGCCAAATGCATCACTGTTATCAATTGCTCTCAGATCTTCGAAGCTCTGGGTGACCCCAGGCCTTGAAAGCTTTTGCCTAGCATCATCCACATCGACGGATATTCTTAGCACATGATGGCGGGCCCGAATTTTTTCCCTTCCCCGATTCTCACCTCCATACTTTGTGTTTAGCCTGGGATCCATTTGAGCATGGTCTGCTTGGAATGTCTTTCTGAGTGAATCATCATCATGAAAATTTGAACCGTTTTTGTTCAAGTATGGAGGGCTGGCAACTTTCTCCACTAATTTACCACAGAAGGTGGTCTGTTCCGATATATCGGAACCGCAGATTGTGCTTAAGTCAGATGCTTCAGAGAGATACCAATCAAAGGTCAGACAGGCCTCGAGAGTGTACGTTTGTTGCGCCTCGGACAAATCACTTGACGCCCAGCAGGCGAGTGGTCTTCTGTAGTACTTAAAAAAAACCCAGAGGAAATAGGCAAAATTAACAAAATTGATTCTACACAGATAAATTTAAAGAGGCAAAATAAAGTTAGTTCTATTGCTTTAATATGAGCTTAAACAAAGATTAATTGTACTTCTTTGTCGCTTGTAAGAAGATTTTTTTGACTACCATTACATCAAATATATGAAATAGGCTCATCCCGTTGCATGTAAGGGGACGAAAGACTGGTAGTTGAAATTTCCTTTAATGCTACGAGTAGATCTTACGTTTCCAATTAATTTCACATAGTCTTTCT